AAGCATACAAATACCGAGTGAGCTAATGAGGAAGCCATAATTTGTTCAAAAAGAAATCGTTTTTTGTGAAGAGCTTTTATAAACAAGATTGAGTTCATCGGTGGAAAGAGATTCAAATGAAAATTGGCATACCTGCTCAACCTGGAAGATCTGCAATTCTTGACATATTCACAGAAGTATCTTTCTCCCTGTCTTATCATTCAACAAACTCCACCTGCACCATACCACAAAGTCTTTTGATGCAACACATTAGCAGTAATCTGGATAAATTGTACAAATCACTCAGAAGATTGAAGCATACACTAATTTTTTTTCCTCGCAATCAAGCGTGTAAAACAATAACAGCATTTTTTTTTTTTTTTTGGTATTATAAACCACATTAGTATATAGTCAAGGATGCGATTCTCATATAGGTAAAGATAATAACTTTAGGAGTTCTAGAGCATACCTGAATGATATCATCCAAAAGGCTAATTGAATCTGCCTCAGAAATTGGAAATCTTTGAAGGCTTCTATGCAATATTCGTTTGCGGTTTTACACAGAAATCCCCATTCAGATTTCAGCAAATTAATCACGCCATTGTCACGGTTCATTACATAATCATTGACTAGATTGTTGAAAAACTCAAATGTTTTTCTATCCTACACAACAATTTTCTCGCAATCACTGTCTCTAAAATCCCTAATTTTATCCCAAATTGGTCTTTCTGTAGGATGATACGGACGTGGAGGAAGTGTTTCCAGGCCAAAACGCTTTAACAGTGAAGAGCACAGAGTTGAGGGACCCAAATGATAAAGTTAGAGATTATGTGACTAGACATAAAAGTAGTCAAAAGTTTTTAAGTACTTGAGAGTTGGGGTGAAATCCATTAAGTCTTTTTTTTTTTTTAGTGAAATATCCTTTAAGTAAATCCCCGTTGTGTGTTTTTTTTTTGGTAGAAATCCCCCTGTTGTGTTAGTCATGGGATTTTGGGAGATGAAAAAGATTGGATTTTGCTTAGGTGGGTCAGATAAAATGGTGGATTCATAATTTCAAGGTTGAAACTTTCTAGCGAAAAAGTCATTTGATTTTCGAAGACCATAGATATTTTTCCGACTGGTAAACTGGGGGAAAAAAATAATTATTAAAAAAAAAAAAAAAAGCAAAAATGGAAAAAAGGTTAGTCAGTTCCTGGTTCTCTGCTCTCTCTCTTTCTATCCAAAAACACAAACTGTAGGCGTGGTGTGGAGGAAAACAAAGAACCTCGGTTCCCACTTCCCACAAGAAAAGATACAAATTTTGTATCTTTCTAAACACCAAAACCAGCTTCCACCACACAAAATAGACACTATGAAAAGTTGAACCCAAAAAGCACCCTTCTTTTATGTCTCTGTGTCTCGTGTCTTACTGTGCACCTCAGATTCTCTGAAACACTTCTTTACTCTTTCTGTCAAGTGATGGTGACAGTTACAGTGTAAGACCACAGGTCTCATACGAAGTGTTGAATTTTTGGCAGCTGAAATGTGTTTAGCTTGGCTCAAGCTGCTGAAATATGAGATTCCTACCAAGCATTTCAAAGGTAACAGCTTCAAAACTTTCTACTTTGGGAGATTTGGCTCTGTTTTAGCTGTTACTCTGTTTCTGGGTTTTGTGCTTTGTGGGTTTTGTGCTGAGTTTCCTATGGTGTCGGTGCCTCTTGGATTTAAGATTTCTTCTTTTGATAGAAGTAGGACCTGGGTGTCCCAAAATGGGATTTTTGCATTTGGGTTCTTCGAGGGGTGTCGAAAAGTCGATAATTTTGATGGATTTGTTGTGGGTGTTAGGTATAATTTAGGAGACAAAGGTGCAAATTTGCCTGTTTGGACTGTTGGTGGTGGCCTGAGGGTGTCTGAAAACTCCACGGTGCGGCTTTCCTTGGATGGGAAACTGATTTTGTTTGATAACTCCAGTGGTTTGATTGTTTGGAGTAGCAATACTTCTGGTCTGGGGGTTAAGAAAGCTACCCTTTTGGATAATGGTAACCTAGTTCTCATGGGTGGTGGCGATATTGTGTTATGGTCAAGCTTTAGTAGCCCCACCAGTACTCTCCTTCCTGGACAGTCTTTGCATTTCCCCCAGACCCTAAGAGCCCCTTCTACAAAATCAATTTCTAGTTACTATAGTTTTGTGATTCGCAGCACAGGAGAGCTTACTCTTCTATGGGAAGGCAATGTGACTTATTGGAGAACTCATTTGGGCTCCGATGCTATTGTTAGGGAAGCAAGATTTGATTTCAGTGGTGCTCTGTCTTTAATTGATAGGGATAATAGAACTGTTTGGTCCATAAGAAGTGAGGATTATGGAGACCCATCTGTGTCTTTGAGGCATCTCAGGATTGATTCAGATGGAAACTTGAGAATTTACTCATGGGACAGTTTGCCACAATCTTGGAGGGTACGGTGGCAAGCAGTTGAGAACCAGTGTGAAGTTTTTGGTTCTTGTGGTTTGTATAGTTTATGTAGTTTCAATTCAACAGGACCTGTTTGTGATTGCCTGTACCAAGATTCAGTTACTTGGGGTGCTGCCCTTTCCATAATGGGTTCCAGTGCTTCTGGGTGCAGGAAAATGGTTGATTTGGGAAACTGCAAAATGAAGGCTACTGTGTTAACTCTGAAACGGACAGTTCTTTATGGCCTTTATCCCCCTGAGGATATTGACATGATGCTAAGTCAAGAAGCTTGTAAAGAGTATTGCTCCAATGATACTACTTGTATTGCAGCAACTTCAAAGAATGATGGTTCAGGAGTTTGTACAATCAAAAGAACCAGCTTTATTAGCGGGTATAGGAGCCCATCTGTCCCATCATTTTCCTTCTTGAAGGTATGTTTGGTACCCCAGGCAGTTTCAGATATGGGAGCTAATCACTTTAACAGCTCTAGGCCAGTGGCTCTAGTATCTAAAGGACTTGGCACCAAAAAGGTTATAGGAGCTATCACCTTAATAGTTTTAGTGACAGGTATGGGTTTTTTCGCTCTGGAGATGCTTGTCTTTTTGTATATTTATCAGAGAGGAAAAGTTAAGGTCAAAGCAAGAATCCCATTTGGAAAGGACACTGAGATGAATTCTCATTATAGTTCTCTAATCAGATTATCTTTTGAAGAGATAAAGGAGCTGACTGGTAACTTCTCAAATCAGCTTGGCCCCTCCATCTACAAGGGTGCATTTCCCTACAAAATCCCATTCATTGCTAAGGTATTGGATACTGTAGTTACAGCAGAGAAAAATTTCCGCGTTGCAGTCTCTACCTTGGGTGGAATGCACCATCGAAACCTTGTGCCCCTGAAAGGTTTCTGTTTTGAAGCAAAACTGAAGTGTCTGGTATATGAGTATGTTCCAAATGGCTCTCTAGATGAGTGGCTGGACAACATGAATCAGAACAGCAATGGAGGGAATTGGAAGCAGAAGTTAGATATTGCTCTTGGAGTTGCACAAGCCCTTGCATATTTGCACACCGAGTGTCAAGAATGTGTGGCTCATGGGAATTTGAAGCTTGCAAATGTTTTGCTTGATGAGAAGTTCATCCCCAAGGTAACAGATTACGGGCTTGGGAAATTTCTTGAAGAGGAAGCGGCTTCTTCTTCCCAGAATCCACCAGAGAGAGATATTTACATGCTTGGAGAGATGCTGTTGCAAATTCTTACAGGCAAGAAGGATGTTCTATGCTGCAACCTGCACTGCCTGGTCACCATGACGAATGAAGAACTGAAATTAGAGGATTGCCATGAAGCAGAAACGGTGGAAAGAGCTGTGAGAATAGCTCTATGGTGCATGCAGAAACAACCTTTTCTACGGCCTTCCATTGGTGAGGTGGTTAAGGTATTAGAAGGTTCACTTTCTGTAGATAGACCCCCTTCGACTTTTGCTTTTAGACAGGACCAACAGCATTGACTGAGATTGAGCTATACCATGTATTGAAAGAGTTCCACGCCTCATGGATTGCCATGTTCGAAGAGTGTTGGAATGAGTTGGAGTTCAATATTTTTGTGACGTTGAACTCCTGAAATGTATTACTTCAGTGAAATGCCAATGCACTATTTAGTATCTAGATTACAAAGATCCCTTTTTTTTCTCCTTTTTTCTTTTTGTTTTGTTCTTGAACTAGGGGAAATGTCTGGGTTTTGAACCCAGGACTCAAGTGCCATCACAGATCCTGTCAAAGGAGAGTGACCATCAGGCCACTAGGCAACTGACTAGATAACAAGGACGTTTATGAGTTTTACATTCTAATTGGGTTATTGCGACTTGACCAAAATAGTTGCGGTAGATAATTGGGACTAATGGCAAGTTTATGTAAGATCACTAGCTAATTGTCCGCATTTCTCTCATAACTAGGCCTGTTACCTTCCATTTTTTTTTATCTGGTGCTTCAATTTGCAAGTAGATTTTGGTGCATCCAAGATAGACTCTGTATGACTTCGGCAAAATCCATAGCATCTGTCTCGTGATTTAAACTAAGACTTCTAATTTAAAGTCTCATCTCATCTCAACAGTTGAATTGAGGCGTTAATTTTAAAGTCCAGGTCGTTATACATGTTGAAACACCTTGTCTTCAATTTGCAAGTAGATTAATCACCCATTTTGTTTTCTTAAAAATTCATGAACTAGAAGCTACCATTCAGTTTCGATTAAGAGCCATAAATTCAATTTTAATTCACACCACAAGCCATATCAACCGATAACCACACAAGACATGACACGTGACATAGCACCAGCCAAAGATGTCAAATTTACTCTTTCCCTCCATTCATGGCCTCTTAATTTTTCCTCTCAAGAGCTGGGAAACAAGCACCCGTTTCTTCAACTTCCTCTGATTAAGAAGAGGGCAGCCATGGAAGCCGCTGGAGTTTCTTCCACCTCTGTTCCATCTCTACACATGCCAGCAACAATCAACAAAACCCAATTCAGCAAACCCCTGTTCCTGAATTTCAAGTTTCATTCATTGCCCATTTCATCTTTCTCATTAACTCAGAGAAACATATCAAAACCCAAGCTTTGCACCACCTTATCATCATCTCCAGCATCAACCGAACCCTTTAACCCACTTCAGCCAGAAATTGAATCTGAAAGTGAGCAGGAGAAATTCGACTGGTATTCACAATGGTACCCACTTATGCCGGTCTGCGACTTGGATAAGAGGGTTCCTCATGCCAAAAAAGTTCTGGGTCTTGATGTTGTGGTGTGGTGGGATAGGAATGAGAATGAGTGGAAAGTGTTTGATGATACTTGTCCTCACAGGTTGGCTCCTTTGTCTGAAGGAAGGATTGATCAATGGGGCAGGTTGCAATGTGTTTACCATGGCTGGTGTTTCAGTGGCTCCGGTGACTGCAAGGTCATTCCTCAGGCACCTCAAGATGGCCCCCCGGTACTAATTCTTCACATAATTTTCTTTCTGCACTTGCATGCAAGATCTATCTGTAGATGTTTTGATTATAAGATGGGGAAGTCATGTTGTTAATGGTGTTTTTTCATTCTCCTGGTTTCATTGCTGTGCTTTATTTGATGTCAGGGATAGTTGATCATTGGAAGATTCAGATCCTTAGATAACAATTGTTTATTGATTACAGCTATCTTAACCAAATTATTGTACTTTTTTGGTAAATCATGATGGTTGCCAATTGAATGTTTCAGGTGCATACTTTCAAGAAAGCATGTGCAGTTGCTTATCCAAGTGCTGTGCATCATGATATTGTGTGGTTTTGGCCAAACTCTGATCCTAAGTACAAAGATATTATTTTGAAGAAAAAACCCCCCTACATCCCAGAATTGGATGATCCTTCGTATACTAAGTCCATGGGAAATAGAGATATTCCTTATGGGTAATGCCATGCAGCTTGCTTATCACTTTTATATAGTCATCTACTCTAAAGTTCTATAAAAGATTTGTTGATTGGAAACTGAACATGTTTGCATTTTCAGGTATGAAGTGTTGATTGAAAATCTTATGGACCCTGCTCATGTTCCATACGCACATTATGGAATCATGCGAACTCAGAAACCCAAGGGTAAGAACTTGATCGATTTTTCAAAAGTTATCTTTAGTCCTTCTGCCTGCAAAATTCACACAGCCAACTTCAAATTTCCTGTAACAGTGAAAGTTGATAGAGAAGGGGGCAGACCACTGGAGATGACTGTTAAGAAACTTGATGCAAATGGTTTCATTGGAAAGCAGGAGTGGGGCAGTAGCAAATTCATTGCACCCTGTATCTTTTATGCTTATACCGATCCTGTAGTTGATCAAGGAAACGGTTCTGCATCATCAGCTCAAACCACAAAGGTTAATTCTTATGTTGATTTCTATTTGCGATTTCTCTGCTTAAATTTGCCCCAAGAATATCTAATTCATACACACTTCTGTCTGGGCAGGCACCATCAACACAACGGAGAATGGCTTTGATTTTTCTTTGCATTCCAGTTAGCCCCGGTAATAGCAGATTGATATGGTCCTTCCCTAGAAACTTTGGCATTTGGATTGATAAAATTGTTCCACGATGGATGTTTCACGTCGGACAAAACCTGATCCTAGATTCTGATTTATATCTTCTTCACATTGAGGTGATTCCCATCTCTTTGTCTAAAAGAAATTTCTCCTTTAAGACCATTCTTTATGCTTTATGCCTTTCCTGATGTAATTAGCAGATCAACTAATATTACTTCCTCAATTTAGGAGCGAAAGATAATGGACATCGGAGCTGCCAATTGGCAAAAGGCTTGTTTTGTGCCTACAAAGTCAGATGCTTTTGTGGTTGGTTTCAGAAGGTGGTTAAACAAGTATGCTGGGGGTCAAATTGACTGGAGAGGCAAATTCACCGGAGCTCTTCCCCCAATACCTCCTAGAGAACAGCTCATGGACAGGTAAATCAAGGATGAAATTCTCTCCAACAAAATTACACAACAGATAAATGTGTCAAAAATTTTGCCAATTTTCCAGAACTGTGAGTTGAGGAACATCATTTCTTAATTTTTCCACAGGTACTGGTCCCATGTGGTGAACTGCCAGAGTTGCAATGCTGCATACAAGGGTCTTAACGCATTTGAGGTCATATTACAAGTCGTGTCCGTTGCTTCAATAGGGATTGTTGCTGCAACAAAGCAAGGTTTCATGTCAACCGCTGCCAGAACAACTGTGATATCGATGGCTGTAATATGCTTTGCAGCTTCAAGATGGTTGGCTCATTTAATCTACAAATATTTCCGTTTCCACGACTATCATCATGCCCTTCGTTGAGCCACCGACTATTTAATCTGATTCAGAATTACAGAATGTAAATATAACTTTATAAGATCCACCTCTAG